ATAAAGAGCCAGTTATTTCTAGGGGACCAAAGCAAAAGCGTATGGTGGCCATGGCAGGAGAGAGTAATGAGAGCTGGAAGGCCCAGTGTCCAGTTTTGGAAGGGCCTTTTTTGTGGGCCACTCTTGGGAATTTGGACTTTATTTTGTAGGCAGTGAGGAACCATCATAGTTCAAAGCAAACAGATGACATGATCAAAATTTAATTTGTACTTTAGAAATAACAATAGCTAGCTAAACTTTTAAAAATCTTTTCTCTGCGTCAGTACAGAATTAGACCTTACGTATGTTACTGCATCCAGTCCTACATCTCCCCGTTAGGTGGGTATAGGACCTTCCCTTAACAGCAGTTCCAAAATTCAATACATTCTAAAAGTCAAAAGTGTTTTTTGTTTGTTTTTGTAAATTGGGCCTGAAAACTCATTGGTGCTAAAACTTGACCTGAGTAGGTGAGATATTTATAATCTTTGTTTATTCCATGCAATATGAATATTTGTTTTTCTGCAGAAATAGCAATGCATTCAATTGCAGGTGCTGTCCCAGGTCTCGCTGGGAGTGTTATGGAATGTGTAGTATGCATAACCTACACATTTGTGGACATTGGACAGTTTAGAAATCAGAGGCACCAAAGCCATTGAAGTAACTGTCCATAGTAACTAATAGGACAGATTTTGATCCCAGGCCTGGCTCTGAGGCTTTAGTTCTTTCTGCCATGCGTCCAGTTTTTCCACATATTTGGAGAAACTGAGCCTGGACAGTATCAGCCAGTGATTGACTACTCTGGCAGTAAGTAAAATATTAGGATTCACTTTTTGCTATGAATCATATATACTGCTTGCTTTATACTAGTTTTCAGGGCTAAAAAAAATTGGCTTTCACCTTTACAACTTCTTTAATGCTAAGAAAAGTAACTTTTAACCTTTAAAGTAGAGTCCAGCTGAAGTTAATTCATTTCTAAAACTAAAAGCAGTGAGAACTAGCTGAGAGCATTGTGAACGGAAAAGTGAAAAATGAGAGGGTCGTCCTGAATTTAGTGTCCGTTTTTCTAAACTCTAGGCCAGTGATTCTCAGCCTGGATTTTGTCCCCCAGGGGACATTTGGCAGTATCTGGAGACATTCTGGTTGTCACTCCTGGAAGAAGATACTACTGGCACTTAGTAGGTAGAGGCCAAGGATGCCACTCAACATTTTATAATGCACATTACAGTTCCTCATAAAAAGAATTCTCCAGCCCCAAATGTCAGTAGTGCCAAGGCTGAGAAACCGTGGTCTGGGCCAGTGCACTTGTTCATCTCTAAAAATGCTTCTCAAACTTGAGCGAGCATCAGAATCACATTGGACTTGTTAACACACAGATGGCTGGGCCCCACCCCAAAGGTGCTGATTCAGTAAGTCTGGGGTGGGCCCTGAGAGTTTGTGCTTTTGAGGAGTTCCCAGGGATGCCGATGCTGATGCTGCTGGTCCCGGAACCACACTTTGAGAACCACTGCTCTACAAAAAAGGCGAGTGATTAGACACTGCGCTTGCCTGCGTACACCCACTAGGAGACACAACTGTTTACACTTTGTCCACTTGTTTTGTCAACTTCTGGGATATATTTACCTGGAGTTTGCATGTACCCACCTGCTTCCCAGTAAAACCAAACTGTATATGACAGACCTAAATACAAATAATCCCCCCAAATGTATTACACCACTGGGGACTGTTGAGCTTAATTCCATCACACCTGGAGTCTACTGGTCATGGTTTGGGCAGGGAGCTTAAGGGTCTAATCAGAAACCTTCAGGGTTTCTGTGCTCTGATGGGGTGACAGTGGGGCGCTGATCTTTTGTATGCGTTCATTTCTATCCCGTGGACTAATAAATGCCCTAAACTCCTTTGCTTAAACTTGGTGCTCCCACTAAACCTAAATCAGTATTTTTAACTTTAGTTTTAAGTTGCCTGCACTTTGGAACTAGAGTATTTAAACATGCAAAGCGTAAGAATGATAAATTTGTCAAGTTTAAAAACAAATTCTGGATTCAACAAAGTATGACTATCTATTCTAGCCAGGAAACTGTAAGAATAAAATAACCTGAATAGTAAGTTGCAGAATTTGAACTGTAGCCGTCATTTTCCCGATGGGAAAACAGAAAATGAGACTCCGCTTTCAGAATAAAACTGAAATGTGGTGACGGAGCAGGAACCAATTCCCTAGACACGGTTGCCTTTTGAACTTCTTTCCTGTAGAATGCACCAAAAATTTATACGTCAGTTGGTTGAAGGATAGAACTTTTAAAAGGCGAAAACTTTGTTATAAAGACTTACAAATAAGTTAAGGCCATAGGCCTGCTGTCTTCGTTTTTGGAAAATAGAGTTTGGAGATGAGAGTGTTTATACTATTTACTGCTTCAGAGCCAAGATTGATTTCTGCGAGAAACTCAATTTTACCTGGCCTAAGTCAAACAGAGACATCTTGTGTGTTTTAAAACATCTTACGATGTTTTACTTAGGCTGGCAAACAATAAAGATTACAGAAAACCAACTTTAAAACCATTTTGGTAGCATCATCTTTTTTGTTGTTGTTATACCTTAATATATTTGTTTCTTCTTAAGACATTTCTAAACATAATAAGAGGGTTTGAGGGGAAAGTTGTATATCTACTAACTGTTCACAGGGAAACAATCTTAAATAAGCAAGTTGTTCTTTTTTTTTTTTTTTTAAGTGTGATGCTTAGGAAACCTGGCATAGCTGGAAGTCAATAGTTTATCCAGAAAACCAGGGTGCTAACTGCTTTATTTTTGTTGTCGTGCAGTGGACTCTTAATCTGTGTTAATGAGTGAACAAGTGAGAAGGCGGCGGCCTGGGTGGCCTTTATTCCTCTGTCGTTACAAACTTTTTCCTTTTATAGCATAGCTAAGAACAGATTCTGGGCCCAGAATGCCCGAGTTTGAATCCCAGCCATGTGACATCAGGCAGGTTACTTATTCTCTCCGTATCATAGTTTTCTCATTTGCAAAATGGAGATAATAATAGCACCTAGCTCATAGGGGTTTGTGAGTAATGCATGAATTAATATACGTAAAGCACATAGCACAGCACCCAGCACAGAGAAAACACTGGTGTTTCGGCTATTATTATTTTCATTCTCTTTTAGTTTCCATGTAATTATTTCAGTCCCATCAAAAGCTAAAGATGTCTCTGTTTACTGGGTATATTTGTGTATGTCTTTGTGTGTGTGCAAAGAAAATAAAAATTGCCCTGTCTGAATAAGACAGTAGCATTTGGGGGGTACTTAGAGGCCTAAGTTCTTAGACCTGTCATTGAGTCATGCCTTTTCATCATTTCCATATTTGTTCCCTCACAAGTCACGTCACTCATTAGTTTTCCGCTATAAAATCTTTGCCCTGCTGTGTTAGGGGGCTCCGAGACCACCCCCAAGTTCGTTGATTCACTAGGACTGCCACCGTATGGTCGTCCTCACCGTCATGACTTATCACAGCAAAAGGACACAAAACAAAACCTGTGCAGTCTCAATGAGACCAGACCGGAGTTTCCAAGAGTCCTCGCCCCTTTGAGTCACACAGGAGGTGGGTCCTTCCTCCCTGCACTGAGTTCTGACCACTTGTGAGGTGGTCTCCCAGGAAGCTCATGAGAGATCAGTACCCAGGGTCTTCATGGGCAGCCGATCACGCAGGCACCCTCTCTGTAGCACTTGCCAAAATTCCATATTTCTAGAAGGAAAGGTGACGTTCAGTGGTCTCTCAAATGTTAAGGTTAATTTAAGTGAATCAATAAATAATCCTGCAGGAATAAGGAAGCAGTAGACGTGGAAGTTTAAAAAAAAAACAGACTACTCTTCCTTTCTGTGTCAAACTGTGCCTCTTCGAGGTTAGTTTCACCTTGTGTTTCAAGACTTTCAAGCTATGGCTAGAGTTTGAACCTTTTTTTTTTTTTTTTTAAGCTAATTAAGAAACAGTGAGTGTTGCATAAATCCTGCATTAACTCCATTCTGTCCAGATGACTCCTGCTCTTCAGAGGCCGATGGTTTTACCGGTCTCTGTGGCACAGAGACCACAGAAAATCATTTTGTTGCTAAGTGAAAAGATAGCAGGATGGTTTTTGAGCAAAAAGGAAACATCTGCAGGTAGAAAAGCAGCCGTCTGGCTTCAGAAGAGGCACATTCTTTTAGGTTCTGGTGCAGATGCCACAAAAGTGGCCTTGCTCCAGGGATAAAAAAAAATCTGCTTGTGACAAAATCAGCAGTCTAAGCGTCAGCATTGTCACGGACCCTTGAGGCTGTCCTGCATTCCTCCCTATTCTGTAGAAGGGGATGGAAATTTTAATTTTTTTCAGCCAATCTGATTCTCTATAAAAAGAGTCTGGTTTTGCTCTGCCTTTCAGCTTAGTTAATTTGGTAAAAATCTCATGCTTTCCCCTTTTGTTACCAAAGCAGAAAGACTTCTTTCTGCAGCAGGAACTCAGAGGGCAGAGTTCAGGAGACTTGGCTGCAAGGAAATTGCTATTTGTTTGATAACGTTTAATAATTTTTTAAAAAAAGTTTGCACTAATGACCCTGCCTGTTCCTCTTCATTTCAGGCTAACATCTCAATGTTATAGAAACCATCCAGGCTATCAGAATTACCCCTTTTCTGTCTGTAG